GATGGGTGTCATCTCCACCGGCTTCACCGTGGGAAAACCAAGTGTCTGAGAGGCACCGCTGCCACACCAACTGCCTGAAGGCGGCGCTCTCCTGCACCTTGCGTTGGCTGGGATGGGAGGTAGGCTCGCGCCTCTGGGTCTTTCTGCTGGAGCCCATAGTGCTGACGGCTGCTCTTGGCACTGGCTTTATTTACCTGCCCAGGGATGAAGACGAAGACCTCGAGGAGCAGTACATCCCGATGGGAAGCCCGGCCAAGGCTGAACGACGCTTTGCGCAGACATGTTTCACCACCAATGACTCTAATAGCTTCTCCATCTCCAGAAGAGCACCGAGGTCAATTTCACTTCGAATCTAGTGGTCTCTAACACTGCCTCGCTGCTGGAACAAGAAATCTTATTAGAAGTAAACTGGACGATGCGGTGCATGCTCTCTGACACAGAAAAACGGAACCTAGATCCACTATTATCAGGTGCGTACCAAGAACCAAGGCTTCTACGTGCCCTCCAACCTATTCCTGTCAGCCTGGCAGGTGAACAATAAACTTGACTGGAGAAACATCACCTTCCCCATCTACGACCAAACTGCTCAGCCTATCTACCTTGCCAGCATCCTTGGAGGAACCGTTTTAAGCAAGAAGATGGGAACGAACCAGTTATTCCTGGAAGCCAAAGCATAGAGCTGCAATGTTACCTGAAGACCAAGGATGGAGAGGATAACGAGCATAGCAAGATGTGGCTGATCCATTTCCTGAACCAATTTAGCAAAATTAAAAAGAGTCTGGCCTTGAAGATGATCCAGGTTCCCCAGGGGTTGACAGGGAGGCCAGGATGTGGGAGGGATAAGAAGACTTGTTCCAAGGATCATAGCAATGGAGTCTTTGACTTGAAGCTGGGTGTGCACTACTGTAATTTGGTACTTAATTAAACTTTCTTAAACCCACTAAAGGATGCCACAAATCTTAGATCCTTGGTAATATTCTGCTAGAAAACACAAATCCCACATCCTCAAGGTAAGGTCTGTTCAGTGTAGACATTGATCTTTAGGTTTAACTTTGGGGTTTAGTTTTCTAGCCAAATTACTTTTAGTTAAAGTTTTCACTGTTTCTGGGAGCCCCTAAAATTTGTTTGAAGCTCATTGGAACAAACAAACAAACAAACAAACCTTTAAGCAAAAACTCCATGGTGTTATTGAAAAAGATAACTAGCTCAGCATTTTTTCAAGTGGATTATAGCATAGTGCCAGGCACATATTAAGTGTTCGGTAATTGGTGGGCCAGGAAACCTACTAATAATTCTGAATAAGCCTGGTGAAAGTGAGACACCTACTGGAGAAAGCCTTTGAAAACCAGGGCTTTCTGAAATGATTTTTGTGCAATTAAAATAGTAAAAGATAACAATCTAATAAAAACTGAGAAAAAGTCACAATTTCTACAGTTACTAATGATTTCATAGTTTAATATGAAATTCAGATTTTGTATATTTAGGAGTTTTAAACTTTGGATTTTTGTAAGAAACTTTAGAACGCATGCCGCTGATTTGTGGAAAGAAGTAAATCTGTATTATCCTCTTCATTCGGAAATCATAATCCATGCATTTTGATTTTTTACTGATTTTGAACATGTTGTCTCCGTCAGTATAAGTGTTTCAATAGTGTTTGTAACTCACATGCAAATGTTAGAATTAGAAGTAATTTAACTGAGTATATTTCTGTGACAGGTGGTCAACTTTGCATCACCTTCCAGACAACTGGAATTTGAGGCAACTTCTATGACAGTAATCCCTTTCTTTCATTTAGCATACCTTCTAATTATGTTATTTGCAATCACATCATGCTACAGGTAAAAACACTTCTATTCATTTTTTAAACTCTTACTTTTTAAAATAATACTTTATGGTGGTAAACTGTATATTAAATATAACATAAACATGTCATTCTAACCATTTTAAGTGTACAATTCAGTGTCATTAATTACATTTACACTGTTGTGCAACCAGTGTATCCGTTTGTGCTGTTTCCATATATTTTCTATCACAGAAATACTGCAACCATTAAGCAATAACTCCTCATTGCCTTCCCCAGCCGCGGTTACCCTTTAATATCTATTTTCTGTCTTTATGAATTTGCCTATTATAGAGATTTCATATAAGTGGAATCATATTTGTCCTTTTGTGACTGGCGTATTTCACTGAGCATAATGTTTTCAAGGTTCATTTATGTTGTAGCATGTATCAGGACTTCATTCCTTTTTATGGCTGAGTAATATATCCTTGTATGTATACACCACATTTTATTTATCCATTTATCTGTTCATGGGCACTTGGAATATTTCCACCTTTTGACTGTGATGAATAATGCTGTAATGAACATTAGTGTACAAATATCTGTTTGAGCCCGTTTTCAATTCTTTTTCAGTATATACCTAGGAATGGAATTGGTGTGCTATATAATTCTGTTAGGTTTTTGAAGAACTGCCAAACTGTTTTCCACAGAAGCTACACCATTTTGTATTCTATCAGCAATTTATAAGGGTTCTACTTTCTTCCCATCCTCACAAACATTGGTTATTTTCTGTTTTATTTATTGTGGCCATCCTAGTACGTGCAAAGTGGTATCTCATTGCGATATTGATTCACGTTTCCCTAATTACCAACGATGTTAAATGTCTTTTCATATATTTATTGGCCATTTGTATATCTTCTTTGGAGAAATGTCAGATGCCTTTTCTACATCTATTGAGATGAACATGTGGTTTTGATCTTCTGTTCTATTAGAGTGATACATTACATTGATTGATTTTCTTATGTTGGAAATGCTCTTACATTCCTGAAATAAATCCCACTTGGTCATGATATATAATACTTTTAATATATTAATGAACTGGGTTTGCTAGAATTTGGTTGAGGACTTTTGCATCTATATTTATAAAAGATATTGATCTGTAGTTTTCTTGTGATGTCTTTGTTTGGCATTGATATCAGTGCAATGCTGGCCTTATAGAATGAATTAGGAACTATTACCTCCTTTTCAATAATTTGAAAGGGTTTGAGAAACATTAGTGTTAATTCTTTTTTACATGTTTGGCACAATTCACAAGGGAAGCCATCTAATCCTGGGCTTTTCTTTGTTAGGAAGTTTTTGATTACCGATTCAATCTTTTTACTTGTTATATGTCTGTTCAGATTTTCCATTTCCTCTTCAGTCAGTTTAGGTCACTTATGTGTTTCTAGGAATTTATGTATTTCATCTAGTTTATCCAGTTTGTTGCCGCAAGTTGCTTATAATATTCTTTTATAATCCTTTCTATTTCTGCAAGGTTAGTAATAAAATCCCCGTTTCCACATATGTAACATTAGCTATTGCTGCTTTAAGGCTGCTGCTTCTTTAAAACTATTGCCACTTTTATTTTTTTATTTTATTTTATTTCAGGTTTAGGCGAGGCAACCCTTGGTTGACCTCACAGATTGCAAGGACTTTTTAGCTTACAATCCCTTATTTTTAAATTTTTTTTTATGCCTATAGCACCTGGTCTTCCTAGGTGGTCTCCTATCCAAGTACTAACCAGGCCCAACCCTGCTTAGCTTCCAAGATCAGATGGGATTGGGCTTATTCAGGGTAGCATGGCCATAGACAGACTGTTGCCACTTTTAGACTGCAGACATTTTAATACACCTGCCCCTTTAAAGTAACTGCCACTTTAAGACTTCTGCAATAACAGAGTGGGAGTGGGGTAGGGCATGTAAAATTGCTACAAAATCTTCCTGTTTTGAAGTGGTCCCCCCACACCAGGCCTTTTTGATTTAGCTCTTACTTGGTTGCTGTAAACTTTTCACTGTTTTTCAGAGTTCACAGAATTGGTTCTGAAGATTTCTGCTTGTTTGTCTACGTTTCTGTGGGAAATGAAAGCTGGGAAATTCTTACTTCATGTTTTGCCACTGTCTGTGCAGCACTTATCTTCTAAACTTAATGACTTTTTTTTTTTATATATATTGTCCATTAACAATAGTATGCAATCAAATGGAAGAGTAAAAAGAAATTGTGGCCAGTCTTGTTTGATTTATCATATGTTTTTTTTACCTCACATATTGTATTAATTATGATTATTTGTGCTATTTAGAAGCAGATATGCTGATAGAACTAAGAAACAAGTTCTTATTTCTATTATAAATTAGAAATTGTACTTTTAACTATATAAAAAATTAAGCTCTAATTGAATTGATTTGGGTGTCTCCATTGTTCTCATGTGAGGTTTAACTTGTTAAGCTCTTATAAATTGTTATCTAGGCATTAGAGGTCCTTTGATCTCTTGTGATCAGAAAGCTAAAATATTAGCAAACGGTAGAATTTAGATGTAGAAGAAACCACACAGGTTATATTATTCCAATGATTTCCAGATCAGAGTCACAGAGAGAGCCCTAACTGCATATTCTGAGGCCATGTGCTATTGAATCAAAAAGATCTGGAAGTTGAGTCTGAGAATCTATATTTCAAAAATTTTCTCTAGTTGATTCTCATGCATAGATAGGTTTGGGAATAAATGATATAATTTAACTCTCTAGATCTAAGGTCGAAAAAGAGGAAGATCCCTGTAGGTAAAGGGACTTAACCACAAAATTACCTCATAACTTTGTTATTGAGAAAGAGAAAATTACATCCCTTAGAAAACAAAGAAACCAAAAAGGAGAAGAAAGGAAAGAAGGAGGGAGGGAGGGAAGGAATGAAGGAAGGAAAGAAGGAAAGAAGGAAGGAAGGAAGGAAGGAAGGAAGGAAGGAAGGAAGGAAGGAAGGGGAGAAAAGGAAAACAAAACTCAGTATTATTAAAGTTAGTAAGATATAGAATTTTTAAAAATTAGTATGGAATCTACTAGGTACCAATGGCTGGTTTGACAAATCTTTTCTACTAGATAGTTAGTTCTGAAGATACAAATTTATATCATTTCTTGTATATCTTTAGAAATAATTGTGGACAGTAATGCAGAAAATCTTGTTGGCAAATAACATATGACTTAGAAGAATTTTATGCTTATGTAACCAACATTTTGAACACACAGAATTCATAAGGTATAACATAAAGCTATTTTTGTCTCATTGCCTTTAAGTCTTACAAGTGGAACGAGTTCTTTCTCTGCCTCATGAAAACTCAGGCAGGCCCTGTGACTTTTATGGTCATTTATAGATAAGACAAGTCCTCCAATCAGAATTAAAGTGCTCATGTCTGTGTAATCATAGACTACTTCAAAATAATACAAATTTAATTCTGGTAAAGTGTAAAATTATTCCAGTATGTCTCCTTTCCTTCTTCTCTTTGGACTATTATTGTCATTTGTTATATCTGTACATGTTACAACTCAACAATACAGTGACATAACTGCTATTTTGTATAATCTTGTGTCTTTGGTTTTTGTGAATGTTTTAATTTAGCTTTTTTTTTTTTCCAGAGTACTTTCGTTGGATATAGACTACATGGTTGACATTTGTATTTTAATCTCTTTGAATATATTATCCCATAACCCCTGACTTTTGTTATTTTTGGTGAGAAGTCAGCTGTTAATCAAAATTTTGGTCCCTTTTGGAGATAGGTTGTTTATCTCTTGCTGTTTTCAAGACATTTTTCTTAGCCTTGTCTTTTAACAGTTTTGCTATGATGTTTTTAGGTGTAAGTCTCCTTGAGTTTTTCCTACTTGGGATTTGTTAAGCTTCTTGATTCTATAGTTAATATTTTTCACCAAATTTGAGAATCTTTTGGAAGTTATTTTTTTAAATACATTTATCTGTTCTTTTCTCACTCTCTTCTTCTGGAATTGTCCTTACATGTGTGTTGACATATGTAGTGTTAATCTGGTCTTTAGGGCTTCAATAATTTATTGTTTTCCTCTCCTCTTCAGGTTGAATAATTTCTATTGATTTTTCAAGGTCACCGATTTCCTCTTTCTGCCGTCTCAAATCAACCGAATTTTTCATTTCAGATCATTGTATTTTTAAGCTCCAAGTTTTTATTTGGCTCTTTTACATTCTCTATCTCTTTATTGAGATTTTCCATGCATTGGATCATTTTCATCATAGTTTTCAGTAATTCTTTTTTTTTCATACTATATATACATAATTTTTTTTTAACATTTTCTTTTCTTTTTTTTCCCCCTCTCCCCTCCCTCCTCCTTTCTGGTAACTAATAGTCCATTGTCCATGTCCATAAGTCTCTGTCATTAATTCTTTAAACATAACTTCCATCAGTTCTTTGAACATGTTCATAATAGCAACTCTTAAGTCTATGATAAACCCAACATTTGGTGATACAGACTTTCTATTTAATAATGCTTTTCTTCCTCAGTAAGAATCATACTTTCTTGTTTCTTTGCTTTGTGACTTTGTTGAATTTAGGATAATATAGCAATTGGGGAGTCTGATTTTCTCCTCAAAGGATTGTTCTTGTTTTGTTTAATAACTTGCTTTTAGTAAATTTGTGCAGTATTGTCTCTACTAGGGTATGCAGCCATCGATGTCTCTGTTCATTTAAAAAAAATTTTAAAACTTGCTTACCGAGGATTGCTACTGTGTCTGCATAGCTTAGAATTTAGCCAAAGATTGTGTTCAAACCCCATCAGTCAGGCCCTCCACTTTGCTGATGGATCCATGTGGGCTGGCAAACATGTTTAGTGTTCAGGTCATTTTTTCAAGTCTTCTGTGGTTTTTGCTTTCTCGTAGGCCTTTTTGCTTCTCCTTTGTGCATACATTCAGGCTTTGGCAATCGTACGTGTGTGGGTGACTTGAACCAGCTTTAGTGTCTGCTCTGCATGCCTCTGGTAAATTTGGAGTATGTGGAGCACTTATCAAATTCAGATGGCTGTCCTACCCCCCAAACTTTCAGTGAAATGCCTAGCTACTCATCTGTTGTTTGCTTCAAACAGGACTACAGCCTCAGGCTAGAGAACTCTGTTTACTTACCATTGAGATCCCCACTTCAACTTATAATGCAGTCAGGTGAGACTCCCTCAGGCAGTGGCAACAAGCCCTGGCCTGGGATGTGGGAGCATAGCAGCACAGACTCATACTATTCTTAGCTGAACTTCAGTGGTTTTAATGAATAATCAATCACTTCTTAATTTGTTGCAGATCTTCAGTTGATTTCTAGAGTATACTGAAATAGTTGTTTTCCAAACAATATTATTTAACTTTATAGTTGCTGTTTGAAAGTGGAGATGATTTGTCAACTTCCTCACCTCATCATGTTTAAAGTGAAACTCCCTGATTATTTTGAATCACACGCCAATCAAAACAGTTTAATAAAAATAGACTTAGGAAGGACTTGTAAACTTTTTAAAGCTATCAGAAAGCAAGAGTTTTACATGTAACTTACATCTGTTAAATTGATTACCTTTGGTAATTGATAACGTTTTATTTTTAGATATCCTTTGTATTTGTTCATATTCATTATAAAGAGAAGGAGGAGGATTGTGGCGTTGTGTGTTGTCCCTCAGTTCTTCCCCTCCGAAGCAGCAAAGAATTACAGGTTGGCGAGATTTAGAAAAAGTAAGATTTATTGAAAGTACATTTTAGAAGGAGACTGAGCAGTGCTAAGGAAGGCTGCAGCCCTGTGGAATTTAGGAGATAGAGAGATTAAATAGTGCTCCCCAAAGGGAGGAGCAGGTTTCCAGCCAGAAATACTGTAACAATGCAGAAGTGGGAAGGTCTGTTTATATTTGGGCCGTGATGGGAGGTCCTAGATGATCCGTATGTGAGGTCACCTTGACGGACAGTTGGCTGCTATATAACTTTGCATAGTGTGCATGTGCTCACACAGAATTCAGTCTGTTATAATTAGATTCATGAACTTCTAGGCATAGTCACGATATTATAATAATGGCATAATGAGGCTGAAGTTATGGGCAGTACTTTCTGTGCATGCATTTGTAGCTGGTTTTGCCAGCAGCTTTTATGGCCTTTGTGCTCTAAGATTTGGGGTAATTTATAACCCTGAAAGGGAGGTGTTTCTGGGAGATCCTTAAGGAAGGTCTTCAAGGGAAGGTTCTATGATTACAGAGCTGGGCCCTCGCTCCTGTTGCTCATGCCTGACTAACTACCTAACAATATGGTAATAAAATGGTAGCTAGTTGGTTAGGAATTTGTATGAATTTGAGAATGCTGTCACATAAAGCTGTTGAAGCGGGGAGGGAGAGGGTGTTCACTTCTCATAAAACCTAGTTTGGAGAGCTTGATACAAATCTGTGGTTTTGGAAACAGGTGTTTGATTCATGCCTAGGAAACCTGAAACCTCAGAGGACTGGGAAGTTGCTCTGGCTGAAGGAAGAATTATTCATGGGTTTAGACTGTTCTGCACTCTCAGCATTTGTTTTGACAAAAACTGCTTGAGTGCCTATGAAAGACCAGATGTTTGTCAGCATGAAAGAAAGTGAGCCATTATGGGGGATATATTTTTGATACTGTACAAAGGGGCCCCCTTAGAAGTGCAAAGGCCTCAAGAGAAGATGATCCGAAGTGGACTCCTGGATTCCCTAAGAGCTAAGAAGGAAGAAAAGCCAACACATGGATTGCATTCACTCAGGTCAAGGAAGTAGCAGGTGAGAACAGCTGCGGGTATAGAAGTGCCCCTGAGAAGAGTTAGCTTTATAATAATCACCAGATCCTGACTGCTCAAAACCATTCTGCAATTGTATCTGCCAGATAAGAATTCAACCCTACCCTGTAGTTTTGACCCTGGCCAGGTCGGCTGAGGGAGGGAAGATGGAATGAGTCAGGAAGGAAGAAAAGTACCACACCTGCCTTCCATCTCTACTTCAAGTGGTCATGTAGCCTCGCTGATTATCTTTGAATTTTGGCATTTTTATAGGTTATGTGGGGCTGAACATCCTGTTTCAGTGCTTTGTGGGTTAAAGCAACTGCGGACTTTTTGTTACTTAAGAGGAGGATTTTTCAACCTGGGTTGAGAGAAAAATATCTGAATATTTAAAAAGAAAGTAGGAGATAACGTTGCTTCCTGATTATATCCCATAAATCAAAAATATAGTTACACATATTAGCATATTTTTGTTGAACGCTTTTTTTGGTGATATAATTTCACTTATGATTTTTCAAAATCTGAAATATTTGTGTAATCACAATCATATATGGGATATGTGTGACTATCATCTTTAACTTATCTTTTTAAATAAAGCTATATTCTTGGTATTTTATATGATTTTTGATTATACTATATTGTGGCTTACTATTCTTTCCCCTTAAAATTCCAGTGAAATGTATAGTCATGTTATTTTTACATAATTATCAAAATTAATACTGTTTATACTGAAAGAGCTAACCCAGGGATCTAGTAGAATTATTTGTTTATACTATTGCTAAGTTAATCCATATTTTCCCACCATATGTGTGTTGGTGACCTCTCCAGCCCTTTTCTGTTTAGGCTGTATGTCCAAAGGCTTTCTCTGTTTCTCCACAGCAATGAATTTGTACTTTTGTAATAAACTGTTCTCTAATTTATTGTTTCTATATCTGAAATAATAGGAATCGAAAAACCTTAGCTAAGGGATTTGTTAAGGCATCCATATCTCAGTTGTTTTTCATCAAAAATAAAAAATTACTCCAACACATTATTAACTCCATTAGCATAACTATTAAATGAGTGTGCAAGGAAGCTGAATGAGGGCATTTGAATCTTAAGCATCAGCATTCTAAGCAACAATGTTGTATAAGGCATCTTATACAATTAATTTCCACAGAATTCTGGAAATGGGAGATCTTAAGTTCCTTTTGCCTATAAGAAAAATTGGAGATCCAGATAGCATTTGACCAAGGAACATGGAAGCTCAGAGTTGGCCTAACATATGCTTCTGAGTGTCTCTGGTTCACACAAAATCCGAAGGCTCAAGAAAATCTCTAGAACCAACCTGGAGTCTCCCTACAGCCTGGTAATGTCTTTGACACTCATTACAGGGTGCATCAGGAAATGTCAGAAACTTCTCTTCAGATGTCACTACAGAGAGCCGTTAGTGGTCTCCTAGGACACCCTGAGGAATAGTGAGGAGACAAATAGTATACAAAAGATAATTTTCTAGTTATGCTACTGGAGGAGGCACATGTTTGGAGATCATAGTTGAAACCATCCATACACCAAAACCACTTGGTCTAGCTAAGCCGGATAGACCTGATAAATTTTTGTTGTTGTTTTGTTTGTTTTCATTCATTGTTATTTAACCAATGAAGCTGGTTCCTCATCAGGGACCCCAGCACTCTGCAGAGCCGTGTATGTACATTCCAGCAGCAATTTCTGCTGAAGGTCCAGACACTTGGCTTCTGAGTTGCTAATTTTGAACAATTTGTTGTCAAATTATTCAACTGACAAAGAACAAAATGTCATTAAATGGCCTCTGAAGACTAAATACCTAAACTAATATCTATGCATTTATCTTGCTGTAAAATATGGCTGCTAAACTTTCAAATTTTGCTGCGCATCTTGTGCAATGGTGGTTTCTGTAACTTTTATTTTTGTTAATTCTTGAAATCATTAGCAAATTTAATAGGAACCTGGTGAGTCTTGGGTTAGCTGGTTTTACGTTAGCTGTTGTGGGCCTACTGCTGCTCCTGCTTCCTTCGGCTTCACCCACCATACCAGTTGGAATGACTGGACCAGGTCCTACATTAAAAGGAGCTTCTGTATACACTCACCTGTTTATACCAGTTTCTATAAAGCATGAAGTCGATATATTTTGCCTTTCTAATAAATGGAATAAAGATAGAAAGACAGGAGTTGCTGACAGAGAAGGATGGAAGCAAGAGGAAATGAGTATTTAGATTTTAAGTTTGTAAGAACTTAATGTGACACAAGCACGGAGCACAAGAGGCTTCATAATGGTGCAGATGATAACATTACACAAGGTCAGTAAGATGATTAGATATAAGACTGGGGACTCTGGATAGATAGGCAAAAGAACAGAGAATATTAAAGGAAATAAAAAAGTTGGATCTCCCTGTTAGCTAATTACTAAAAAATTTGGCGAATGGGATTTGAGGAAAAAATAGCTATGTTATATGTTAAAATTTTTTCGCAATTATTTTACCCTATAATAAAAACAGCTCCTCTTGTTTACATTTTACTTCATTTTTTTCACTCTGCATCATATTATTCTTCAGTATTACATCTTTCTGGTGAAATCTTTACCATTATGTTTGTGCCTTCCAGAAACTGTTAACTTCTCCTTCTGTTACAAAATTATAGCTTAAAAAAGTTTTTCAGTCAGGCTGTCAAATGAGTACACAGATATCAAAACAATCATCATTTACAAATTATAATGGAAATATATACCACGGCAATAAAAAATGAAAAATCCCAGATATAAATATATCAAGAAGTGAGCAAGATTCACATAAGGGAAAAAAGAACCAAAAGATAATGAGGGACATGAAATAAGACAAATAAATTGAGAGACAATAACATGTATCTGGATATACTGACTCGAGATTGATTCTCAGTTAAAATTAATTCCAACCTAATTAAAAATCTCACTAACTTTTTTTTTTTTAATCTTGGAATACTGATTAAAAATTCATCTCAAATAATTTTGAGGGAAACATTGCCAGGAGAGTACTAACGAGGAAGACTAAGGAGGGGAAACTTTGGAACTGTAACAAATTTTAAAATAAATTTTATAAAGAGGTTAAAATAGTGGAGTCCTAATGCAAGAAGCAGCAGATCATTCAATGGAAGAGAAAACCCAGAAACAGAAAAAAACATAGCCGAGAACTTAATGAACAATGAAGTGACATTTTAAACTAGGTGAGAAGGTTTGCTGCATGCGAATGGCCATTTTTAAAAGTTTTTTAAATGTTATACCATGCTCCAAAATAAAAAATGGATTGAATAAAGATTTAATTGGGGGATATAAAAGTAAAGAAAACGTAAACGTAAGGCTGGGCCACAGGGTAAGGTTAGGAGGGAGGGGGAAATGCGTTTTCACTTTATTTGGAATACGTGCATTGGTTTCTCATAAGTTTGCACTTGTAGGTGCATATTGCCACAGTCTCTGCATCTACTAAATACCGTGGCCACTGGCTGGGCCCAGAGGAATGTGGAAGAGGCATAAACTGAAGGACAGGAAGATTTAAAGGATTTTTGAGGGGAATTCTCTGTGGGACAAGACCTTCTGCGGCTTGAATTTCCACACCACTCTAGCCCCAAGCTAGGCAGAGACCGCCTGTACACTGGGAGGAGTCTAAGTTTCACAAACGTTGTATCACATCCACCGATTTCCAAGGGAAACCAGCGCCGCCCACAAGCAACTGCTGAGATTTGAGCTGTCTAGGCCTCGCACATGCGCTTTGGGTACCCTTGGGGGGGGGGCGGGCTTGCTTGCGCACGCGCAGTGACAGCACCCTCTGCTACACGCAGGCGCACTTGTGTTTAGCAGTGCTGCTTGGTTACAATCCTTCTGCGCTGAAAGAATTCCCAAAGGCTGTAGCTACCCTGCTGGAGACTGTGGCGGGATGCGATTGGCTTATCTGGAAGCGAGTGTTGAGCTCCGGGGGCATGAACAACCATCAGGGTGCTGAGGTGCCTCTGCAGCCCCTGGGCTCTCCGTAGACTCAGCTATGAAGAAGATTTTTGGCTTTGGGAGTCGGAAGGGCGAGTCGCCCTTGGGCTCCTTAACCAGCCGCCAGAGGACCGGCGTGGGTGTCAGGCCTGAGACTGGTAATAGAGTCACCTTGGGGCCCGGGTACCACATCCGAGACAAAGATCTTGGAAAGATCCACAAAGCTGCCAGCGTGGGCAACGTCCGAAAAGTGCAGCGGATTCTATTGCTCCGTTTAAATGGCCTGAATGATAGAGACAGGATGAACAGGTAATAGGACTGTGTGATAGGGACTGTGAGGCCAGTGGCCCTGGGCGGGCCTGGGGTCGGGGTGCAGACCTGAGAGAAGAGCTCACCTGCCAGGGCACAGCTAGGTGGAGCCCAGCCCTCCCGTCACAGTGGGCGCTGGGCTGTCTCCCCTCCTGAGGTTCCGCCCCGTAGCACCTCGGTGGTGGGGACCTTACCTGGGGTCTTAGTGCTCAGGCCAACTTTATGAGCAGCAGTAAAGAAAACTTTAAGACTCACTCATAATTCCTTTTATAAAGCACTTTAGTGACAATTTTAAAGTGATTAAATATCAATAATAGAAACAAAATTAAATATATACAGCATTTAATTTTTGATGTTTACATTTTCATAGTGTAATGTTATATACTATTGAAAAGTGCATAATGGGAAAAGCAGTTCTCATAATAGATCAATTTGTGGGGTAAAAATTCTTCGGATAAAATCCAAGATCTATTTTATATAAGTATACACCTATCTATATATTCTTTATTGGGACCTTAAAAGGGAACTTTGAAGGGAGAAGATGCCTGTAGTCTTAAGTAGGGAGACTCATTTTCTCAAAATGTGTGCTCTTCCTGTATTTATCGATTTTCCATAAACCAACTAAAACTATGGTTTTAAAAATTTTGAGTTACACATGCTGTTTATCTTTTAATGTTGTGATGAAATTAAGAAAAAATTTGTATAGTAGACAAAATTTGCCCTTTAGATATGAATATGTACTATAAATTTCCACTACTTATAATTTACAAATAGCTGAAAAGACAGATAAATTATTGGAACAGAACAGAAAATGCCCAAACACCCAAATATATGTAGGACTTTAGAACTTGATACTTGTGACATTTCATGCCTTTTATACATTTTTTTATGTTCTCAAATTCTGGAGATTGAGCAATGTAAAAAATTAAAACTCTGTATCAAAAGATAATATTAACAAAATAAAAGAAAATGTTTTTGCAAAATATTTACAATGTATGTATATCAGAGAAAAAGTATATCTTCATTTTACAGAGAAGTCTTTGAAATCAAAAGAAAAAACTCATTTGAAATTGGACAAGTACTTTTGTATATATCTACATGTGATCAATGGACATAGGAAAAAATAGTATTCCTGGTATGAAAAGAAATTTAAGTTAAAAGAGGAATGAAATACCATTTCCATCTACAAAGTTTGTGAAGATGAGGAGCCATTGTACTTATATTGCTGCTAATTTATTTTATTTATTTATTTTTTAAAATTAATTTATTTTTTATTATGATAACATTGGTTAATGAAATCCAGTAATTTTCAAATGTACTTATATTACTGTTTAAAGTTTAAATTGCCTTTGACTTTTAAAATAGGCAATTTGGTGATAAATACTCCATTTAAAAAATATATCTGGAGATAGAAAATTGTAAAAGATAACCTGTATCTATCCTTTTGAAAATGTATAAAATATTAACTAATAATAACGATCCTTGGAAATACTTGATTTTCGTACAATCTCTAAATTTAAATATTGAGTAAAAAGCCATCCCTATTCATTTGAATCCTGTGTTTCCTTTCATGTAAGGTTTCTTGAAAAACAAATTAAGAATTAGTTTTTAAAAAGTCTTTTTGTTTTGTTATGGTATTTTATTCCTCTTTCTCCACAATGCTTTTGAGAAATAAAACTTATTTAAATGCCAACCATATGACTAGAACTGCAATCAGTCTGTTGTATGAACCATTATTTCATTTAATGTAAGACCTCATGGATGATGTGAGGCTCAGTATTTTATGTACCAATGGGAAATTTTTTTAAATACCAATTATAATTGTAAGATAGTCTGAATTATAAATTGCATTTCACTGACAGAAATGTTAAAATGTAAGAAAGTAAGCATCTTAGAATCACTGAAATACTGTGTTCTTTCTAATCCTCAAGACATCTGCAAAATAGGCATAATATAATTTTACTTAGTTGAAATATTATCTTCGTGAAATCATAATAGTAATAATTATAGTAATATTACCTAACAATTATTGAGCTGTTGTGTGTGTGTGTGTGTGTGTGTGTGTGTGTGTGTGTGTGTGTGTGTTGTGTTAGGAGCTGTAGTACACACTTTGCCTAGATTCTCATTTAAGCAAACAGTGGTGTCCTGTGAGATAAGTACTATTTTTATCCCCATTGTGTTGATGAGGAAATTGATGAGGCACAGAAGGGCTCAGTGATAGCTCATAAGTGACAGTTAAAATAGGGTCAAAGCCAGGTTGAGTTGGATCCCCAGGTCATGCTCTCTCTGTTCACAGGGGCACCGCTGTCATTAATGAGGTGATAGAAGCTAATAAATATTGTACTTTATTCAGAAGAAAACTAAATATTTGTTTTGAAGGCATAGGAATAGCATTTAATGTTTACAATTACATGAATAATTACATGTTTTGAGACAGTGGACTCCAATTTCCTAAAATGTACTCTCATTTTTATAGGACTGCTCTACATTTGGCCTGTGCCAACGGCCATCCAGAAGTGGTAACTCTCCTGGCAGACCGAAAATGTCAGCTTAACCTCTGTGACAGCGAAAATAGGACAGCTCTGATTAAGGTACAGAGACCCAACTCTGTCAACATGCGATGGATTTGATTTAATTATGGAGAGCAGAAATGAATTTGTCTTATTTAACTATAACTAATTGGTGAAACTTGTAGAATGTTTACTTTGAATTCCTAACATTTACAGTCTGCTTTTTGTCATAATACTGACAGGCCGTACAATGCCAGGAGGAGGAATGTGCAACTATTCTGCTGGAACATGGTGCCGATCCAAATATAATGGACACTGATGGCAACACGGCTCTGCACTACGCTGTCGCTGGTCAGAATATGAACATAGCAGCAAAGCTGCTTTTATATAAGGCCGATACTGAAGCAAGGAACAAGGTATAGATCAACTAAATTTATTTACAAAATATTTGAAATATGTGTTTTTTTTTTAGCCACAAGCATTGTATTTCTAATATATTTACTACATATTATACATCAGACCCTGTCACCATGGAAAGAACGCCAAAGCCAAATCAGGGAGGGCTGGAGAGACGTGATGTCCTCGGAAAGGGCCAAACTCGGTCTCCCAGCTACCGCCCTTCCTCCCCAGAAGGAAGGACTTACTGTTAGTGCCTGGGAGCCAGTGGTAGCCTCAGAGCCAGCAAAGGACTGAAGGCCTGGGGGAAGTGAAGCAATTGTGGGCGGCTGGCTGCTGTGCAGGCAGGGGCCTAGGAAATGGGTTCCTCTGGGCATGGGGGAGAGGAGGAATGGAGACCTAGCCCCCAGCAGGGGGAGCTGGGTGAGTACAAGTGGGAAGGAGAAGCAGCAGGACACAGGCTGTGTACACTCCAGGACCCAAGTTTCTGAAGATTGGGGCAAGAGTGCAGGTCATGTCTGGACCTCCAGCAAGGGCATTCACTTGTGCTCGTAGCCACTCTGCCAGCCATAGCACCTTGGGGTCTTTCACCTCACAGTGTAGCTCCTGCTCAGCCTCCCAGAGCTTATCTGCGGGGTTGTAGTTGTACAGGGGGCGAGTGATAACAAAGCAGTCACCTGCTTTTGCTTCTGGATACACTTTACCAATGGCCACTGCAACCTCAACAGGAAGGCCCTCGATTGACACAGTCAACTTTACATCTTGAGAAGCTCAAGCAATCCCTGAATGACAGTGTTTTGAAAGAACTTAATTTTCTAAGATTTCAGTTTACATGATACTTCTAAAGAAGCAGAAGAGGGTACAGCTCTCTTTCATGTACTTACGGCAAATATTTGTGCAAACAACATTTGTCAAAGGCACAACTTTTCTTTTAAATATATTTTTCCATCCTAGTTTTTTCTTCTAATTAAGGTAAAACAACGCAAGAAAGCAAAATTTGCCTTAGAAATAGGCTTTATCTTAAAACTCAAACAAAATAAAAAGCATTTGACAATAGAGATCTTGCTGCTGTTGATAAGTTTCAATATTATAAAAAAGTGATTCATATTAAAGTGGCTTTTCTCTCATTGGCCAAAGTTTATGAGAGAAATGGGATCAGGAAAAGAAAAGAGCAATCAAAAATATGCAGGTCAATTGGAAAATTTGGTAAGCGAGTGGAAATAATAGTAGGTTTTTTATTTTTGTTTCTTTTTCTGTTGGTTTCTGTGTTCAGGTTTCAGGAATAATAATTCTTAGTTTTGGAGAGAGAGCTAGTGAGTTGCAAACTTGCCTCAAGATCAGTTTGAGGAGGTCTCTGAGGCCACCAGATTGGCAGTGAACAGGTGGTGATTAAGTGAGAAAGAAGAGGAAAGGACAAATAACTGACATAATATCCTATTCTGGCAAAAACAGCTATTGCACTCTGTTCTGAAATCAAGAATGTCATGATGAAGTTTATGGCAAATAAAATTAAGTTACAGTTTGAGTTTATGAGTCCCTTTCCCCTGCC